GCTTTGTTTTTGTTTGTTTGTTTTTGTTTTTGTTTTTTAGATTCCACATATGAGCGATCTCATATGGTATTTTTCTTTCTCTTTCTGGCTTACTTCACTTAGAATGACATTCTCCAGGAGCAACCATGTTGCTGCAAATGGCATTATGTTGTCGGTTTTTACGGCTGAGTAGTATTCCATTGTATAAATATACCACATCTTCTTTATCCAGTCACCTGTTGATGGACATTTAGGCTGAGAAACTCCCTATAATTTCTGCTGATCAGATCTAGCTTCCCCGCCCCTGAGATGCTGTGTGTAAGCCTGTGATTTAATAGCATGCTTATATGCCCTTGGATTTCTCCAGGCATCCTAGTGGCTGCCCTTCTCTACCTGATACCAGATTATTTTTCCAAATGAATCAGTCACCTGCAAGGAAAACAAATGACTCTTTAAAGAAATTTTTTTTTCTGGTCTTTTTTTAAAACATATATTTATTTTTATTTTTTTTTCTTTCTTTCTTTCCCTCTTCCTTCCTTTCTTTTTCCCTTTAATGGAGGCACTGGGGATTGAACCCAGGATCTAGGACCTTGTGACATGCCAAGCACGCACTCTACCCCTGAGCTATACCCCCAACTGCCCGAAGCAATTTTAAGTAAAACAAAATGGCTGTAATGCTGGAAGTTGGTTACACAGGTGATGGAAGAGGCTGAAAAGCAACCCTGAGGGAACCCAGAGATTAGTAACAGCAGAATGATTAGGAATATCCTGGTGTTTTTAGAGTTTAGGGCCTAGGTCACCTGGCTAAAGCTAGGACCACAGAAAAACCTTTGCATCAGGGGCTGGACCTATGGAAGGAAAGCTGCTGGGGGCAGAGAGTGAGGGAAAGAAAAACCCTGGCTTCTCCCTTGCCCTGATCCCCTCCAGTCTCCCAGCAGTGCTTCCTCTTGACTGAACCCAGTGGAAACTCAGCCCTTAGGGCCAGTCCTTATAACCCAGAGCTGAGGAGAGGCGAGGACAGGATCTGAGAGCAAATGAGCCAGGATTAGCCCACCCCACCTCCACGATCTGGCCTCTGCCTGCCCCTCTGTCTTCTAAGTGCTCCTTCATTGGTCCTCTCCAGCCACACTGCCTTCTGCTTGGGTCCCAGCCAGGACCTCTTTCTGGGGTGCAGGTCGTCATGACCTTCTTATCACTCAGGTCTCAACTCACAAGTAACTACCATCTTGAGGCCTCTCTTGACTCCCTGCGATCAGCACCTCCGCCCACAGCTGCCCTAGCACTTGCTATCACATATCCTCGTTTCCCTTCTTTGGAGTCCTTGTCAGTAGGTGAAACTGTTTTGTTTGTTTATTTATTCAGTGACTCTTTGAGTACCAGTAACTGCTGGGTGCTGTTGGAGGCACTGGGATAGAGCAATGAACAAAACACAGAAGAACCCTGCCTTCATGGATCTTACATTCTAGTGCAATAAATGAAAGTCAGAAGGTGGTACACGCAAGGGAGAAAAATAAAGCAGCGTATGGGGATGTGCTAGCAATGAGGTTTCCTGGCTTAACAAGGTGCTCAGAGGAGGCAGCGCTGATAAGGTGATATAGGGAGGTGGTGAGGAAGTGAGTCATAGAGATACCCAGGTTAAGAGCAGTCCCAGAACAGGGAACGGGCAATGCAAAGGTTCTTAGGCTCAGCATGTTAAAGCTGAGAGAGCAAGGGGAGGAGTAACAGGAAAGGTAGGGGCTGCAGGACAGATCCCATAGCACCTTCTAAGTCATTAGGAGGACTTTGGCTTTGGAGGGATCAGAGCAGAGGGCTGACATGATCTGACTTCGTTTAGCAGGCTCTCCCTGGCTGCTGTGTTGGAAGTTGACCACAGTTGTGGCAAGGGTGGAAGGAAAGAGGACCAGCTAGAAGGCAGCTGAAAATAATCCATGAGAAATGCTGGTGGTTTGTACCAGGGTGCTGATGATGGAGTTTATGAAAAGTGGTTAGATTCTGAATAAAGTAGAGCCAGCAGGATTTGCTGATTTAGATGTGGGGCATAAGAGGAAGGGAGGAACTGAGGATGACTCCAGAGTTTTTGGCTAGAGCAAATGGGAGGATGGAGTTTATTACAGTGAGAAAGCCTGGGCTGGGAGCAGATTTGGGATAGGAAGATCAATAGTTCCATTTTGCAATAATCACTAATACTTTTATACTACACCCTCACAATATGCCGGACTTTGTGTATCCTAGTACTTTACATTTGAGGACTCAGTTAATCTTCTCAGAACTCTTCTTATTGTACATGTAAGGTAACTGACACACAGAGAAATTAAAGAAAGTTCCTAGAATCATAAAGCTGGTAAGTGGCAACTAAGAGGTCATTTGTAACCTTGACAAACATCCTTTCAATGGAGTGGAGAACATAAAGGCTGACTGGTGTGTGCTCATGAGGAAATGGGACTTGGAGACAGCAAGTACAGAAAATTCTTCTTACATGTTCCTGGTCTGTCTCTCAACTCTAGCATGGAAGAGCCACAGAGCAAAGACCTCAAAGTACCCCATTCATGTCTATATCCCAGTGCCCAGCACATTGTATTTGTTAAACCACATCAAATATTGTATTATTATCTCCTTCAAACGTGGAGCCCACAATTTTCCAGCTTGGTCATACCGACAAAAAGTAGAAAGGAATGATAGGGCTGGACTAGATTTCTCTGGTTCCTTCCAGCTCTAAACTTCTATGATTGTGTGACTTGTCCTATCAGCCCCCTTGTATTCATGCAGTAAGTTGTTCATTTTGACAAGCAACTGTCAAATGAAATGGCTGGAGTAAGTGTTTCATTCATAAAATTAAAACACATTTGTTGATGTTAGGTGCTATATATATATTGTCCCATTTAATAGATGTGAGAGCAGAGGGCCTGGGCTGGGCTAGGGTGGACAGAAGAGGTGGTGAAGGCCTCCCACTACTGACAGTCTGGAGGTCCAGGGTGCTCTGATGTGCTTGGTGCTACTGTGGTTGCCACCGAGAAAGGAAGAGGCCCTGAGTGGCCTGAGTGCAGGGATTTGCAGAGCTGCAGCTGCCGGGGACACAGAGCAGCATTCACCAAGGCATAAGCAACCTCTATCTGCTTCACTACTCAGCAGCCCAGGGCGGCTACACAGAACAGCTGTTTCAGGCAGTGGGAGGAGGGGGAGATGTGGTCCTCAGGCCCACCCTGCCACAGGGCAAACACCTAATTTTCCACCATATTCAGGGCAGGGGTTCTCTGCTGCCATGAACAGCACCTTTGGGTTTTGCTGCATGACCTATTTTGGCTCTGGTGAGGACCTGCGAAGCAGGGCAGGGTTTAGTGGTTGCATTCTAAGGCCAACAGAGGAGGGCTGAGTATTACAAGATCTGTGGGAGAGGGGCAGGGCCAGGATAAAAACCTAGAGGTCCTGACTCCTAGAGTCTGCTCCAGGAATAATGGAAAGAACTTGGATTCTGTCATCTGTTCCTGAATTAAATAATCTTCACTTGGTCACAGCCCCCATGCTTTCTGAAACAAAGTACCTCAGTTTCCTCATCTGTAAAGCAGTGGGAAAATGCCCTTCGTACAGGGTTCCTTGCCGGATCAAGGGCATAAAGCGCGTGAAAGTGCTTTGTAACATACAGAGTGCTCTCCAGACATTTATTACGGTTATAAATCACCAGGGCAAGCTTCCTCTCACAATTACAGATTAGGATCTCCTACCGGCCTGACCTGGCTCCCTTGTTCCATTTTCCATTCACTTTTTCCGTCCTTCTCCACCAATAAAGAGAGGAAGTAATATATGTGAAGAGCACGTGCATCTAACGCGCGGGTTAAGCCCGGCAATAGGGAACGCGCGGGCTTCGCTGCCCCAGGGAAGCCGAGAGGCGCCCACCTGCGCAGAACTACATTTCCCAGCAACCCTTTCGCGGTTCCTGCGGCGTCGGGAGCGAGGCGCATGCGCCAAGTGCGGCCCCGCCTAGTCTTGAAGCCGCTCCTCCGAACCGGTTTTGCCCCGGGGAGCGGGCAGGTCTCGGCGCTGCAACTGCTGTGCTCGCTTCGCTGTTCCCCGCGGACCGCAGCGGGCTCAGGTGTGCGTTAGCTCGGGTCAGTGCCATGATCCGCCAGGAGCTCTCCACATCCTACCAGGAGGTATAAGGCAGTAGGGGGGTCGGAAGCAAAGTTTCCCGTGAGGCGGAGCGGGTCCCGAGGGTCCGGGCGGCTGGGCTACTGGGGGTGTCCGGGCGGGCTGAGCGCGCTTCCGAGGAGCGGTGAGTGTGTCGGGGGAGGGGTCCCCGCGTGCTGAGCAGCAGCGGAGCAGGAAGGAAGCGGGGCGCGGAGCCGCCTCCGGATGCACCCGTCGCTTGGCCAAAGGATGGAGCCGGGGCCCCGAAGCCGCGACCCGTAAACAGCAGGTGAATGATTAAAGCTTCGTCGGACCCAGGCAGCAGGGCAGCAGGCCCGGCAGGATCCCGGGTCGCCCCGAAGACTCCAGCGTTCTTTGCAACAAGTGGAAGCACCCGCGCTTTCCTTCCAGCTGGCGCGGAGTCGCGCTGGGGCATCAGCCCCCTCCACGCCCAAGGCCTCGTGGCTCTTGCAGCTGTTAACGAGAGGGATAATTACAATTTGTTTTGATGGGTAACTAACGTTGAAAATGTGCTTTCACAGGCAGAGCTGCTTCTCGCTCCGCTTCGTTTCTCTCTTGAGTCTCACCTCTTCCCACAACTTTGAACTATCACTTTGCAGTTCTTTGTCTTTTTCTTGTCTGTCCTGAGCCATGGGCTGCGCTTCTAGCTTTTCCCTCAGACCAGCTCCTCCTCCTGACTCTTGCTGACAGCATTGAACTGCTCTCCTCCTCCTTCTCTACAGCCCCAAACCTTGGTCATCTCTGGTTACCTCCCCGGTGCCCCTCACCGTGCCCCCCTTCCTTGGCAAGTTCAGGCAGTTCCACATCCTCAGTCCTCAGGTTAGTGTGTGTTCTAACCAGCTCTCCCTTGGGTGTCTCCCGTGCTCTGCAGATTTGTTTGGGGGCCCTACCTTGATCTCAGGGCATTCCTTTTTAGATACATTTTATGCTGCCATTGGTCTCCTCAGAACAGCTCGAACTTCTTAGGAAGCTTTCCCAGTTCTGCAGCCATCGCTTCTATCTCACCCACCTAGGTTCTGGCCACACTGGAAACTCACCTTTTAAAAATGTGCTCCTGCTAAGCCTATACTCGCACTATTCCTTCTTTAACCTCTTTCAAGCTCCGTTGGTTGAAATTCCTCCCATTATTCAAGGAGAGATCTCAAATCCCACATGCACCGTAAAGACTGACTTCCCAGACGAGTCTAACATTCTTCCAGTCCTCATATGAACTGCTGCTGTCTTGATCGGCACTGATACTGTGTGGAGTATATAAAGCAGGTGGCTTAGCCACATAGTAGAAGGGGAAGCTAAGCTGAAGACAGATGAGATTTGCAGAGGCTTGCCATTTTCTAGTGTAGGACCTGGGCTGGAATCTGACTTTGGGAGATTTCTATATTTCTTTTATCATTTCCTTTATCCAAGAGGAGCCTTATGGGTTTTATCCAGTTCTGTGGATTCTGTGACCCCTAGATCCTTAACCCTAGGCAGTAGAGGAATCCTGGGGAATGAGCTGTGTCTTTCCCTGACTGAAAATTTTCAGGTTTATAAGGAACAAAGCATAGTGGGTAAATACGGGACTTTGAAGTCCAAAAGCCCACGTTCCTATCCTGGCTCTGCTTCTTGCCGTTTGTGTGACTTTTGTCAAGTCGCAGCTCCTCTGAGCCTCAAGTTGATTCATCTGCACAATGAAGGTAATGATAGTCCACATCTCACAGGGCTGAGGATTAGAGGAGCTGGAATGTGGAAGGTGCTTAGCTCAGTGCCTGGCAGTAGTGACCCCTCTGAATGCTGGCTCGTGTTGACAGGGTGTGGGCAGCTTTTGCTCCTAGGGAGCTTGGGGTCCTGGTTCACAGGACCAGCCTCTCATCATCTACCTGTAACCTACAGTACTCCTTACCTAGCAGGGCTCCTAAAATGTTTAGTAAAATATAAGCAGTTTTCCTGTTTGCAGAAGCAAGGCCAGGGCTAGAGCCAGTTTCTGTTTGGGGGCACCCCCAGGGGGAAGCACTGGAAGGAGCCTGCCCCTGGCCTTCTTCAGTGCCCCTTTCTGAAGTCTACATCTCTCACCTTCAGAAGAAGGAGGCCTCCTGAATCTCTCTTATGTGGAACTTTCTGAGAGTAGATTTAGATGTGAGTTCAGCTTTACTGAGGGAGATTTTGACTCTGCGGGATGGGGCATTTGAGAACTTGGCCAGGGTCAGACAAGGAGATGGCCTCGTTATGGCTTTTGGTAGGCAGGAGGGGAACTGGGTTAAGAGCATGTTGGAGTGAGGCTGAATCTGTGTGAGGCTTTGATCAGAGAACTTTGGGCCTTCTCAGGACTGATATCCTCCTTTCCCTTTGGCCAGCGAGAGCCTGGGACGTCTTGATCTGTGTTCCCGCGGGAGGCCTGGATCTCATGGGGCCTTGTCCAGCCTCCCAGCCCTCTCCACTCGTTGACTTTTCTTTTGGGCTTGGAGGGCTTTGAAGGTTTTACCTGATTGTAAGGGGCAGAAGCGGAGGCATGGAGAGGGAGGTGGAAGCGTCTTAGATACAGAAGAGATTTATTTAACTCAAGTTTCTTAGAAGTAAATTTTTTTGTTTTTGTTTTAGCGGGAGGTAATTAGGTTTATTTGTTTATTATTTTAATGGAGGTACTGGGGATTGAACGCAGGACTTTGCACATGCTAAGCACGCACTTTACCGCTGAGATATACCCTCCCCACTCAGAGATGAATTCTTAATGGAAGTGTCTTGAGAGCTTAGGCGTTAACACTGTGAGCCTGAGAAAATACTTGGGAAATCTGTCCTCTCCCCTACTCTCCTAATCCAGTGAAACGTCCTCCTCGAAACTCTGGTCTTGATCTCTCTTGCTCTCCTTAACACTAAGGAGCCTGGTTATCATTGTATCATTGCCCCCATTCCACAGGTGAGAACACTGATGAAGTGGAGGTTGCTGCCAGGCTACTTATTAGCACCTGTCCCTGGGTGGGTTGCCCTCCCCACTTTGTCTGCCGTTTGCAGCCTGAGTCCAGGGACTTTAGCTCTGACACCAACTTCACTGTTCCCTCTTCTCTCTCAGCCATGTTTCTCCCTTCTTTGGGAAGTGGTTAAGACGGTGGCCTTTGGAACTAGACCAACTTGGATGTGACTCCTGGCCCTGTGGCCGTGGAAAATGTTGTGGGTTGAATTGTGTTTCCCAAAAAGATATGTTGAAGTCCTAACCCCCAGTACATCAGAAAGCGACCTTATTTGGCAGTAGGGTCTGTTTAGTTAAGATGAGGACGTACTGGAGTAGGATGGGCCCTAATCCAGTATGAATTGTGTCCTTATGAGACGATGACCACGTGGAGACAGAGACTCCAGGTGAAGATGGAGGCAGAGATTGGAGATTAGATGCATCTGCAAACCAAAGATTGCTGGCCATTACCTGGAGCTAGAAGAGGGGCATGGAAAGGATTCTCCCTCACAGTCCCCAGAAGTAACCCTGACAATACCTTGATTTCAGATTTCTAGCCTCCATTACTGAGGGAATAAATTTCTGTTGTTTTAAGCCACCTGGCTTGTGGTGCTTTGTTATGGCAGCCCTAGGAAGTTGCTTGTTTTCTGAGCTTCAGTGGGCTCATCCGTAGAATTGGTGTAACTTACTCTACATCATGTGATTTGTGTGTGTGTGTGTGTGACCATTAAGTGAGAAGCAGCTTCTGCTTTCTAATTCTAGTCTAGAAAAGCAAAGCTGATGTTGCTGACTTCTCTGCTCTCTGTGTTTCTCCCTGTAGCTGAGTGAGGAGTTGGATCAGGTGGTTGAGAACTCAGAGCAGGCGGACGAGCGGGAAAAGGAGACAGTCAAAGTCCAGGGTCCGGGGATCTTACCAGGTAAGTGGGTTCAGCTCGGGGAGGTGGAACTGCTGGAAAACGGGGTGTGCCGTTGCTGCAACTGGAGGCCCCAGTCCAGGCACCTCGCCAGCTGGGTACCGTGTCAGAGGAGCTACCATCTTGCCTGGTGTCGAATCCCAAGTATTGCCCTCGTTTTAAAGCTATACATATTTAACCTGCCTTAGGACAGAGGTTGGGTCCGAGCTGGCGTCTGCTCTTTTTTGTCCTCTGGTTTGAGCCGGCGGCCAGGCCATTAGATACGATGGCAGGGGCTTTAGGTTTCCACTCTTATGTTCCCTCTTCTCTAGGAAGCTGTGAGCAATTGAGCCTCTAATATCTGGGTCACTTCCCAGGGCCCCCTGGGAGATTATCTGGTAGACCTCACCCCTGGACATTAGGTTTCTCCAGTTCCGTTGCCCAGCCAGGTGACCAGGGTCTCAGCAGTGAGGTGGCGTCTGTAGAGCCTTGTGGGAATTTTTGATGCTGTCGACCATGTCTTCCTCCTGGATACACTCTGCCCCCTCAGCTACCATTATGACGCTCAACTTCTCAGACCACTTCTTCCAGCCTCCTTTGCCATCACCTCCAGCTCTTGGGTGTCACGTGTTTGTCAGAGGCCCCCTTCTCTCAGTCTCTGGTGGGTGACCTCACCCAGGCCCCCTCCCCTTCAGTCACTACTTGCTTACACATGACTGCCATGGTTATATCTCTGGCCCTAACCTTCAGATTTACATATCCTGTGGATCCAAATTCTTGAGTAGTGGCTCTGCTTGGATGTCCCAGAGGTCCCCTAAATTCCACACGTCCAAAATTGACCTCATGGTCTCCCCATCGCCAGCTTGGCCTCTTCCAATGTTTCCTGTTTCCAGGAATGGTACCATCCCTATCCAGGTGAACTTGAGAGTCATTCTTTTTTGTTTCTTTCCCTAATTCCCCCTTTTCCATGCTGGCCTTCTTTTACTTTGGGCCTCACTCCCTCCCACCATCAGGCCTTTTTGTTGTTTTTTTCCTCTGCCTGGGCTTCTCTTCTTCCCTCTATCACCTAGTTAATGTGTAATCCATCTTCAGCTCACTCAGTTTTCCCCTGCAGCACCGTCTCTGGCTTCCTTGCCTGATCACCCCCACCCTCCAGCGCTGTCACTTGTAGCCTAGGCACCTCTCCCTGGCAGCTGTCGCTGATGGATGGTGTATGCATTTGTCTGTTTGATCAATGTCTGTTCTACTAAACTGTAAACTCCACCAAGTTAGAGACCAGTGTGTTTTGCTCCCCACCTCAGCCCTGGCCATGCGATAAGGATTTGTTGAATGAATACATAAGTGAATGGTGCCCCAGCCTGACTCCATCTTCTTGGGTGGATTGAGGGAGGTGGGATTCTGTTCCACTTGATTCCCGTATTCGTGGAGGAGAGAACGGGATAGGAAATTCTGTGATTGTGCTTAATCCTTAGAGAAGACTTTGTAAAAGGAAGGAAGCTGGAAGGGCAGCTAATGCTTCCTGACTGCTTCCTCTGGGCCAGGCTCTGTCATACCCATTGCCCATTGAATTCTCATAACAACCCTGTGAGGTGGTCATCCTCTTGTTTATAGATGAGGCCCTGAGGCTCAGGGAGGCTAAATGAAGTGCGGCAAGGTTACATAGCTGGCCAACAGACAGACTGGATCAGGCTCTCTGACCCCAGACTCTTTTTACTGCACTTGTGATTTTTTAAAAATATTTTAAGCATCCTTCTATTAAAGCCCATGTCTGCCCCAACTCTGACTCTAGGCGTTGCCTCCAAAGCCCTGAGTTCCCAGGGAAAGCTGTTTAAAAGCCCTGTATATTAGTTTCTATTGTTTCTTTAGCAAGTTACCGCAAACTTAGTGACTTAGAACAGTTCAGATTTATTATCTGACAGTCCTGGAGGTCAGAAGTCCAAAACGGGTCTCCGTGGGCTAAAATTAAGGTGTTGGCAAACTTTCTTTCTGGAGGCTCCAGGGAAAAGTCCATTTTATTACCTTTTCCAGCTTCTCGAAGCTGCCTGCATTCCTTGGCTTATGGCCCTTCTTCCATCTTCAACTCTTTCTCACACCTCATTCTGACTCTGACTTATGCCTCCCTCTTCCATGTTTAAAGGGCCCTTGTGATTACACTGGGCCCACCCGCATAATCCAGGGTAGTCTCCCTATTTTAAGGTCAGATGATTAGCAACTTTAATCCCATCTGCTGCCTTAATTTCTCTTTCCCATGTATGTAATTTGGCATATTTACAGGTTCCAAGATTTGGGATGTGGACATCTTTGGTGGGCCATTATTTTGCCTACCGTACCCTGCACTGCCCTCTGGCCCCCAGTCAGAAGAGGATAGAGGGAGGAAAGAGGAAGGCCAGACTTGAAAAGATGAAGCTTCCTCTTGTGTTTCCTTGTATATGTAAGTGCCAGGCATGTTAGAAAGTGGCCATGATGACCTTTGACCTTATCCTCTCTTTTGCCTCAGATTTTTGGGGCCTCAAAGCCTGGGATAAGTCAGAGCAGGAAGCCAGACTCAGGCAGAGCAGATTTGGGGTAGTTCCACTGGCTGGCAAGAGCCACCTTGCTTTTGGGGAAACTCCCCTGGGCTCATGTCCTGTTTAGACTATAGACAGTCTGGTGCTCAGAAGGCCATGTGGCTGATCTCAGTAGTGACTTGGCCTAAATTTGATGACCTGGTATACAATTTTCAGAGCTCATTTCCTGTCTTTGAATCTTCTAACAATAATAAAAATGATGACTGATGACAGCAGCCACCATTGAGTAGGTGAGTAGGTGCTTCCCTGTACTAGGCCTGAGGGCTTTTTATGTGTACTTGATCGCATAACCTTCCTGGTCACGCTGTGAGGGAGGCGGTTAGCCTGGTTTATAGACGAGGAAGCTGAGGCACAGAGAGGCTGAGTACTGTGCTCAGTTAATGAGTGGCAGGGCTCAAACTGAGCCCAGGCCTGTCTTTGATGGTGTTCTGACTCTGGCCCAGTTGTTCCTAGATGAGATGCTTTCTTGTTCCAAAATCCTCCCCTTCCTGCACCAGAGTCACTCATGGACTTCTTCACCTATTGTGCCAAATGCTAAAACCACAGAGAGGGTGAGTGGAGCGTGGCCTGCTTCCAGGAACTCAGGCCATGTGGGGAGAGAAGGCAGGTTCCCGAAGAAGAACTTACCCTTCGACAGAGCCTGTCCTGAATAACCTAATGGGGTCCTTTTCTCCCAGTTACCTGCTTTCCTCGCTTTCAGTACTTTCCCTTTGTAGCATTTGGCACAGCTGAGAGGTCACATTTATTGACTATAATTCTTCAGTTGATTGTTGTCAGCCCCTTGGCCCTGCTCCTGAGTTCTTTGAGACACAAAGTTTGCGCCTCTTCCAACCGTTGTAACTCCAGTGCCTTTACAGTGCCTGGTCCGCTGTGGGTGCTCAGCGTATACTTGTACCCTAGGAGAGGGAGGTGTGGGGATTTGGAGCATGCATGCATCTCACCTGAGCCAATTTGAATGAAGAAATGAGGGCCAAAGAGAGGCTAGAGATAGATGCCTGAGGAATGAACGAAGGAGGGCTTGTTGATGAAGGAAGTGGGATTAATCCGAAGGAAGGGTGATACAGAAGTGCGAAGGAAGGGCTGGCCAGGGAGGAGGGGTGGTGCGCACAGACACGTGGAAGTGGGAATAGAAACGGGATGCTTCAGAATCAGCGGGTGGCACGGTGTGTTTGGAGCAGAGGGTTGGTAAGAGAAGCAGAAGGAGATGAGGTAGGAAAGCTAGGCTGGGTCAGATTGTGGAGGGTTTCAAGTGTCGGGGTTTGGACTTTATCTAAAGCAGGGAGTTTTTAAAGGGGTTAGAGCAGAGCGTCAGAGGGGTGAAGTGGGCATTTCAGGAAGATCTGTATGACAGGGCGTGGGGCTGGATTAGGGGGAAGCAGGGCAGCTGGGCCACGTCAAAGCCTGAAGGCTGATGTGATAGGCTGCTTTGGTGTGGGGGAGGGGAGAAGGAAGAATCAAAGAGTCTGAGGTTTGAAGCCGGGTGAGTGGGAGAATAGTAACATACAGAGAGAGAGTCCAGAGGGGCAGGTGCTGGAAGAGGAGATGCTTGTCTGCTGTGGACACACCAGGCTTCAGCTGACAGGGCAGGTCTGGGTGGAGATGCCCAAAGGCAGTGAGAGGTGTAGGGGAGACAGGAGAGAGGTGAGGACTGGAGTTGTGAAAGTGGGAGAGGTCCCAGAGCGGGAGGGTTAGGAGCCTGGAAGAAAGCCAGGGACACAATGTGCAAGGAGCAGGAGAGGGCCATGAAGACTGAGTCCCAGATGATGCCCACATCTGGGGACCAGGAGAGGAGGTGGAGCTGGAGTTGAACGGGAGGGCCTGGAGGTGGGAGAGCAAGACAGGAGGACAGTACGAGCAGGCTGAGCACTTAGCAGCTGAGGTTCAGGTTAAACACCCAGCATTCAGGGTTATATTCCCAACTTCACTCTGAGATAAATAATTCCATACCATAATGTGGGAAAAGCCTCAGTACATTCATGTCCTCTCTACCAAGGGAAGCACAACCACCTATTCTTTCCGAAGGGAAGAGTGAGACCAGGCGTGCTAATTGAATAAGCTGTTTACGACATCAGAGATGTAATCAAATTGAGGAAAACACTTGGTTACTGAGTCATTACAGTCAGTTCTCCATGGAAACAACTGTATATTAATAGAATAGAAAAAGATAAGCAACCAAGAAAAAAATTAGGTAAATTGGACTTCATCAAAATGAAAAACTTTTGTGCATGAAAGGATACTGTCAAAAAAGTGAAAAGATAGTCCACAGGATGGGAGAAATTTTCATATCATATATTTGATAATGGACTTGTATTTAAAAAGTGTGAAGAACTCTTACAACTTAATAATAAAAAGACACATAACCCAGTTTAAAAATGGGCAAAGAATGTGAATAACGTTTCTCCAAAGAAGTTATAAAAATGATAAGCACATGAAAAGATGCTCAGTATTATTATTCAC